GAAATTAAAAGTGAAAGAGAAAAGGAAGAAGAGAAAGTGAAACTAAAAGGGAACAGGAAAAGGGAGGGGAAAGAGGAAGAGGAAGGGGAAGAGGAAGGGGAAGAGGAAGAGGAAGTACCGAAATGCTGCTGGCGTCGCCGTCCCGTTCGGCCCTCACTTCCACGTTGCCCAGATGCAAGATGGCGGCCAGGAGGCGGAAGATGGCGGCCTGCTGGGCTTCCGGAACTCCTGTAGGGACGTAGAGGCCTCTCTGTACCTCCATAGAGCGCAACTCTATGGTTGTGGAGGACTAGGGAGCTCAAAATGGAGTCCTCCAAGAGGAAAGCGGTCACTTTACACCCCCATGGGGTGCAACTCTATGGTTGTGGAGGACTTCCGGGCATGGAGAGCTCAATGGTGAGTCCTCCAAGCAGAGAGTGGCCACTCTATCCGCCCATGGGGCGCAACTCTATGGTTATGGAAGACTTCTGGGCATTGAGAGCTCAATGGTAAGTCTTCCAAGGTGGAGAGTGGCCATTCTATCCCCTCATGATGCACAACTCTATGGTTCTGGAGGACCTCCAGGGATAGGGAGCCCAAGATGGAGTCCTCCAAGAGGAGAGCGGCCACCCTGCACCCCCATGGGGTGCAACTCTATGGTTGTGGAGGACTTCCAGGGATGGGGAGCTCAATGGTGAGTCCTCCAAGCAGAAAGTGGCCACTCTATCCGCCCATGGGGCACAACTCTATGGTTGTGGAGGAGTAGGGAGCTCAAAATGGAGTCCTCCAAGAGGAGAGCGGCCACCCTGCACCCCCATGGGGTGCAACTCTATGGTTGTGGAGGACTTCCGGGCATGGGGAGCTCAACGGTAAGTCTTCCAAGGTGGAGAGTGGCCATTCTATCCCCTCATGATGCACAACTCTATGGTTCTGGAGGACCTCCAGGGATAGGGAGCCCAAAATGGAGTCCTCCAAGAGGAGAGCGGCCACTCTGCACCCCCATGGGGTGCAACTCTATGGTTGTGGAGGACTTCCGGGCATGGGGAGCTCAATGGTGAGTCCTCCAAGCAGAGAGTGGCCACTCTATCCGCCCATGGGGCGCAACTCTGTGGTTGTGGAGGACTTCCAGGCATGGAGAGCTCAATGGTAAGTCTTCCAAGGTGGAGAGTGGCCATTCTATTTCCTCATGATGCACAACTCTATGGTTCTGGAGGATTTCCAGGGATAGGGAGCCCAAGATGGAGTCCTCCAAAAGGAGAGCGGCCACTCTGCATCCCCATGGGGTGCAACTCTATGGTTGTGGAGGACTTCCGGGCATGGGGAGCTCAATGGTGAGTCCTCCAAGCAGAGAGTGGCCACTCTATCCACCCATGAAACGCAACTCTATGGTTGTGGAGGACTTCTGGGAATGAAGAGCTCAATGGTGAGTCCTCCAAGTGCAGAGTGGCCATTCTATCCCCTCACAACGCACAACTCTATAGTTGTGGAGGACTTTCAGGGATGGGGAGCTCAACGGTGAGTCCTCCAAGCAGAGAATGGCCACTCTATAATCCCATCAGACGCAACTCTATGGTTCTGGAGGACCTCCAGGGATAGAGAACCCAAAATGGAGACCTCCAAGTGGAGAGTGGCCACTCTGCACCCCCTTGGGACGCAACTCTGTGGTTCTGGAGGACCTCCACAAATAGATACCCCTCAAGTTGAGTCCTCCAAGCAGGTCCTGGCAAGAATTGGGAACCAAAATGGCATCCTCCAAGCAAAGACGCCACTCTGCACACCCATGGGATGCAACTCTATGGTTCTGGAGGACCTCCTGGGATAGAAATCCCTCAAGTTGAGTCCTCCAAGCAGGTCCTGGCAGGGAAAACCTCCAAGGACGGCAACCCAAAACAGAGTCCTCCAAGCAGTGGCCACTCTGCACCCCCATGAAACGCAACTCTATGGTTCTGGAGGACCTCCACAAACAGATACCCCCAAAATTGAGTCCTCCAAGCAGGTCCTGGCAGGGATTGGGAACCAAAATGTCGTCCTCCAAGCAAAGATGCCACTCTGCACCCCCATGGGACGCAACTCTATGGTTCTGGAAGACCTCCAAACATAGATACCCCCAAAATTGAGTCCTCCAAGCAGGCCCTGGCAGGGAAAACCTCCAAGGACAGCAACCCAAAATGGAATCCTCCAAGCAATAGCCGCTCTGTACCCCCATGAGACACAACTCTATGGTTCTGGAGGACCTCCACAAACAGATACCCCCAAAATTGAGTCCTCCAAGCAGGTCCTGGCAGGGATTGGGAACGAAAACGGCATCCTCCAAGCAAAGATGCCACTCTATCCCCCCATGAGATGCAACTCTATGGTTCTGGAGGACCTCCACAAACAGATACCCCCAAAATTGAGTCCTCCAAGCAGGTCCTGGCAGGGAAAACCTCCAAGGACGGCAACCCAAAATGGAGTTCTCCAAGCAATGGCCGCTCTGCACCCCCATGGGACGCAACTCTATGGTTCTGGAGGACCTCCACAAACAGATACCCCCAAAATTGAGTCCTCCAACCAGGTCCTGGCAGGGATTGGGAACCAAAATGGCGCCCTCCAAGCAAAGATGCCACTCTGCACCCCCATGGGACGCAACTCTATGGTTCTGGAAGACCTCCTGGGATAGAAATCCCTCAAGTTGAGTCCTCCAAGCAGGTCCTGGCAGGGAAAACCTCCGAGGACGGCAACCCACAACGGAGTCCTCCAAGCAGTGGCCGCTCTGTACCCCCATAGGACGCAACTCTATGGTTCTGGAGGACCTCCTGGGATAGAAATCCCTCAAATTGAGTCCTCCAAAAAGGTCCTGGCAGGGAAAACCCCCTCCTCACCCAACGTTTTGAAGGCATTCTGGGTCTTCTCCATCTCCTCGCCGTCGTCCACCCCATCGATGGTGGCCTCCCCTCCTTGGCAGGTGTAAAAGAAACGCTCGGAACTTTCTAGAAAAAACAAGAGAAAGGTTTGAAACCCCGATCCAAGATGGCGGGGGTGGGGTGGGGGGAGGTGGGGGGCCACCCATGGGTGCTGCTCACCCAACGCCAGGCTTTGAAACTGGGGGAGGTGGGCGCAGGCGCAGAGCTGGTAGAAGATGTGGTAGTTGCGCTCGTGTTCGGCCTGCAGAAGGGGGAGAAAACGGGGTTATTATGGGATGGCGGCACCCATGGGTGCCCCCCTTCGCCCCCCAACCAACCCACCCACCCTTGAGAGCACCCGTGGGTGCGGGCGGCCTGAGGTCGGGGGAGTGTTGAGGGCTGGAGGAGCTGATGGGAGCCAATGGAAGGCTATGCATGGGGCACCCATGGGTGCTGGGGGGAGAAAGGGTGGGAGCCCATAGAACCAAGAATGGGGCACCCATGGGTGCAGGGAATGGGTGGGCGCCCATGGATGGAGGAATGGGGCACCCATGTAGTCAGAGGCACACTTGTGGGACTGGGGGGGGACCCACGGGTGCAGAGGGTGGGTGGGCAGCCATGGGGCTGGGGAGGCACCCATGGGTGCAGGGGGAGGGTGGGTGCCCATAGGATCACAGATGGGGCACCCATGGCGTCAGGAGAGAGCACCCATGAGACTGGGGGGGGCACCGATGGGTGCAGAGGGTGGGTGGGCACCCATGGGGCTCGGGAGGCACCCATGGGTGCAGGGGGAGGGTGGGCGCCCACAGGACCACTGATGGAGCACCCATGGGTGCGAAGAAGGGCACCCATAGGTACAGGGGGAGGAAGGGCACCCATGGGGTTGGGAGGGGCACCCATGGGTGTAGAAAGAAAATGAGCACCCATGGGACCAAAAATGGGATCCTATGGGGTCCTATAGGATCCTATGGGGTTTTATGGGGTCGTTTGGGCGCTATGGTGTTTGTGGGTGCCCCCAGCACCCATGGGTGCTGACCTGGAAGAGCACCCTGGACTCCTCGAGAAGCAAAGTGCTGATATGGGATTCCTATGGGATTCTTTGGGATCCTATGGGGTCCTATGGGGTTTTATGGGGTGTAATGGGGTTCTATGGGGTCGTTTGGGATTTGGGGGTGTCTGGGTGCCCCCAGCACCCATGGGTGCTAACCTGAAAGACCACCCTGGACTTCTCGAGCAGGAAGGTGCTGACGTGGGGTTTTATGGGATCCTATGGATTTCAATAGGGTTTTATGGGGTCCTACGGGGTCGTTTGGGATTTGGGGGTGTCTGGGTGCCCCCAGCACCCATGGGTGCAGACCTGGAAGAGCACCCTGGATTCCTCCAGCACAAAGGTGCTGACGTGGGGTTTTATGGGATCCTATGGGATCCTATAGATATCTACGGGGTTTTATGGGGTCCTACGGCGTCGTTTGGGATTTGGGGGTGTCTGGGTGCCCCCAGCACCCATGGGTGCTGACCTGGAAGACCACCCTGGACTTCTCAAGCAGGAAGGTGCTGACGTGGGCGCCCAGCAGGCGCTGGCACCCATCGAAGCTCAGCTCGACGTATTTCCCGAAGCGGCTGCTGTTGTCGTTGCGGGTGGTTTTGGCGTTGCCCAGAGCCTGGAAAAAGGGTGGCGGCACCCATGGGTGCTACCGGAAGGAGCCGCAAAACCCCGCATAATCCCATAAGGAACCACAAGACCCCATAAGAACCCATAGAACCCTATAGGAATCCATGAGACCCCATATGAGCCCTTAAAACCCCAGAAGACCCCATAGGACCCCATAAGACCCTATAAGATCCCATAGGACCCTATAAAATCCCATAGGGCCGCATAAGGCCCTATAAGATCCTATAGACCCCATAAGATCTTATAAGACCCTATAAGATCCCTTAAAAACCAATAAGATCCCATAAAACCCCATTACACCCTATAGAACCCCATAGGATGCCACACGACCCCATAAGACCCCATGGGACCCCAAAAGACCCCATGGGACCCCATAAAACCCCATAACATCTTATAGAACCCCATAAAGCTCCATAGAACCCCATAAGATCCCATAGAACCCTATAAGATCCTGTAAAAGCCCATAAGACCCTAAAAGACCCCATAGGACCCCACAAGACCCCATAAGATCCTATAACACCCCGTAAGACCCCATAAGACTCAGTAAGATCCCATAGGACCTTATAAGACCCCATAGCATCCCATAAGACACCATAAAACCCCATAAGACCCCATAGGACCCCATAAGACCCCACAGGATCCCATAAGACCCCATGGGACACCATAGGACCCCACAGGCCCCCATACAACCCTATTACACCCTATAAGACTCAATAAGATCCCATAGGACCCCGTAACGTTCCATACGACCCCATAAAGCCCCATAGGACCCTATAAAACCCTATAAAACCCAATAGGACGCAAAAATACCCCACAGGACCCCATAGAACCCCATAGCACCCTACAAAATCCTATAAGACCCCATAGGACCCTAAAAGACCCCATAGAACGCCATAAGACCCCATAAGACCCTAAAGACCCTATAAGACTCAATAAGATCCCATAGGACCCTATAAGACCCCACAGCACCCCATAACACCCCATAGGATCCCATAAGACCCCAGAAAACCCCATAGGACTCCGTAGAACCCAATGGGCCGCCATACAAACCAATGGGACTCCATAAAGACCCCATAAGACCCCAATACGACCCCACAAAACCCCATAGAGACCCCATAGAACCCAATGGGGCCCCATAGAAACGAATGGGACCCCATAGAACCCAATGGGCCCCCATAGAAACCGATGGGACCCAACAGACCCCCATAGAAACCAATGGGCCCTATAGAAACCAATGAGACCCCATAAAGACCCTATAAAACCCCATAAAACCCCATAAGGACCCCATAAGACCCAATAGGCCCCCATAGAAACCAATAGGACCCCATAGAACCCAATGGGACCCCACAGACCCCCATAGAACCCAATGGGACCCCATAGAACCCAACGGGACCCCATAGAAACCAATGAGACCCAAAGGGACCCCATAAGACCCCATAAAACCCCATTAGGACCCCATAAGACCCCATAGACCCCCATAGAAGCCAATGGGACCCCATAAAACCCAATGGGCTCCCATAGAAACCAATGGACCCCCATAGAAACCACTAGGACCCAATGGGACCCCATAAGACCCCATAAGGATGCATAAGGACCTCATAAGGACCCCACAAGACCCAATGGGACCCCGTAAGATCCCATAAAACCCCATAGAACCCAATGGGCCCCCATAGAACCCAATGGGCCCCCATAGAACCCAATGGGACCACATAGAAACCAATAGAAGCCAATGGAACCCCATAAGATCCCATAAAACCCCATAGAACCCAATGGGACCCCATAGAAGCCAATGGGACCCAATAAGACCCCATAGAACCCAATGAGACCCCATAGAAACCAATGGGACCCAATAAGACCCCATAAGGACCCCATAAAGACCCATAGGATGCTATAAGACCCCATAAGACCCCATAGAACCCAATGGGACCCCATAGAACCCAATACAAACTAATGGGACCCCATAGGCACCCATAGGACCCAATGGGACCCCATAAGACCCCATAAGGACCCCATAAGGACCCCATGAGACCCAATGGGACCCCATAGAAGCCAATGGGACCCAATGGGACCCCATAGAACCCAATGAGACCCCATAGAACCCAATGGGCCCCCATAGAACCCAATGGGCCGCCATAGAAAGCAATGGGACCCCATAGAAATCAGGAGGACCCCATAAGACCCCATAAGAACCCATAAAGACCCCATAAGGACCCCATAAGGACCCATAGGATGC